TGGCAAATTATTTTGTTTCAATGTGTATCATAATCATGTTTTGGTGTCCATATTATCTGCACAAATCCATATTGGACATGTTCTATTAATATTACATACTTAACCTTCCTGGTAAAATCTGGGAAATTGGCAGAGGAGTTAACCCAGAGTTTGCCTTTCACACATGCACAACACAGAGGAAGGGTCTCTGCACAGACGTGTTCACAACAGCAACAAATCCTCCACATTATTCAAGCGAGAGGTGGAGCAGCCGTGTACAACTGACAGAGGCAGGAAGTGATGCATTAACTCCGCTGCAGAGATCACATGATTTCTTTAGTGCACCTCGACACCATTGTCAGCTCTTATCACCACAAAATCTCTACACATCATCTTCGGTGGCTTCTACGTGTGTGACACTGCTTTTTCAACTGGAAACATTTGGTTTCTTTTTTTTTTCATTTTTGCTTCTGTCAGGTGTTAGACGCATCACCACCAACTTCTCCTGGATTTTTACGGACTTTATACCTGGAGGTCAGGAAGATAAAGTCTGAGGAAACTGCGGAGCATCTCTCTCTGACATTTGCGTTCACACTTGCACCTCTTCCAGAAAAAATATGGAGGAACTGCAGTGTCCATTGCATGTCTGAAAGCAGCTTTTGTAAACAACCTGATAACTGTGCTCCCTTTATGTTCGTTTATTCATGCTGCATATATGCATTGCACTCAGTTGATTAGTCCAATCCCCCAGGGACATGAGGGCTCTGCCTTAATCAGAAAACAGATGTCGTCATGGAAACCGATATGTCTGGTGAGTTCCAGGTAGGGAGATGGGTTTTTAATGGATCGCAGCAGGACGGCTCCACGGACATGGCAATGCAACGAGCAGGTTGTAATGTCCCCTCAGATGAAACCAACCAGTAATCTTGATACCAAATATCAGGCCACTAAAGATCCACTGCAGACAACATGTCACTCATGCAGCATGCTTCATTCAGTGCTAGATACAGGACAGTTTAAGATAACTAGATGAACAACATTCACTCTGTAGAGCTGTTATGAAGTGAGCCAGAGGACAGTCCACAGTACTTGAGCTCAAGTTATGTTTGACCTATTATATGTTGGTATAGAATATATAGCAGGTTTGCCTGTAATTTTTCTGCAGTATTCTTCAGTTTATTGTACTTGTGTGGACGCAGGAGCTGAATCAGATCAAATTTTGCTGTAGCTAACTGCAAACCAGCCTCATTATGAGCGGCTGCTGATACAACATGCTGCTGGCTGTAAATGAACATGTTTTGGTGCAGGTCTTGGCACATGAGCAGTAGCCGTGGTGTATGGATCTAATGACAAGGCAGCAGGACAGCACAGTGTTTTTTTCCCAGACGAGCCGATGCATCTTCACTGCTGAGGCTTCCTGAGACACTTTGGAGTTGAGTTTTAATGGGGAGGTCGATTCAAAATTAAAGCCCTGGTTCCTGACGATAATAAACCGTGCATTATTAATAGTTACATAATTTATTCAGGGAATACAAGAAAACAAAGGAATGCCACATAAAACAACTTTTCTAATAGGAAATTATAGAAATAGATGGTGTTTCTAACTTGAAATGGACCACAGTCATGAATGGATTATGAGAAAATGGGCCCCTGAACACAGGCATGTAAAAGGCTCCTGATCCCTCCCCCTCAGACATGTCCTGTGGAGGATCTCCGGAGATTGGCTCCGGATTTTCACACATGCAGAACACAACGGGAGGTTCTATGCGCAGACGTATTTTTTCCTTTTTTATATCTGCTGCATGTTGGAAATGTCATCACCAAACTGAAAGCAGCTATGGAGATCAATGTGGTGTGGAACGTGTACTCACAGCTGGAGAAGATGAGAGGGCAGGAGTGCTCGTCCATGGGAAAGTTGTGCAGCTGAAGCTGGCATTCTGCGTTTATTGTCAGCCTGCAAAGAAAAGAGTGAATGTTTACTGTTTTGTTACTGTAGTAAATCACA